AGAGGGGCAGAGACGAGGACAGAGCAGTGCAGGAAGGACTTGCTAAGAGTGTCAACAGATCCTGTCCCAGCCATTGTTCTGCTCTGGGCCATAACTTCCCTCGCTCACAAAAAAGAAATCAGAGGGAAATGCCTCTGGCTAGCTGAGAGCAGAGTATCAAACCAAGTGATCAGAGGCTTCTTAATTTTCTGCCCCCTTTTTTTTTTTACCTCTCTATTTTTTTCTTTTTGAGAAGCACCTAGTTGTTCCACTTAAAATAAGACTAGAGGGACTACATGTGAATATTAGATTTTTAGGTTACACTCGCTGCTATGTGGGTTACACTCATACTGCTGCATTGGAGACTCAATGCCAGTAAATTATCCTGAAGGTAGAAACAAAGAACAAATGATCAAAAGTGTGCATATGTTAAATTATGGTTAATGAGAATGGTAAAAAGCTAACATGCTGAAGAACTAACTGCATACTGAACCAGCTCGTACACAATCATGAGATAAGACTGAGGCAAAGAAGAAGAATATATGCAAAAAAAAAAAGTCCTACAGGACTAATCTTACCTATCAAAACCTCTTTTTCCTCAATTATAACAGCTTCCCAAGGTAGGAGGAACCAGTGCTCACTGAACAAATGCACATACATGATTTCCCAGATCTGGTTATGCTGGTTTACCCCCTTTATCTTGAATTGTAGTACTGAAAACCCATCCCCATTGCCAGTTTCACCACACAACTACAGCAAGAAAAAAAACCCCAAACAAACAGGGTGCTGTAACAAAAGGCAGAAATTGGCTGCAAATATCTGGAATTTAAATACAGTCCAAGTGGAAAAGTAAGAATAGCAGCATAAAATACAGTTGCAGGTCACAGAATCCAAGAAACATATAATGCTTTGTTTGCCACAACATGTGAACAAGAGATTGTGGATGCACTTGTCCTCGTGCAACTGTATGCCAGGAGAAGATAAAGCACAGTAATTATAAACTTGAATTGTTTGGAAATAATCTAATCATCCCTGTTTTGCAAGTATAAAAGATCTTATCAATTAACAGCATGAGTCACATCAAAAAGCTAAATCACCTTCAAATACAGAAGATACTTTCCAATACAAACATTTAAGGTACCCAAGACCAGCCAGCAATCTGTGTTGTTTGTAGAAAAGCACTGTTCTGTGTCAGTACACCACATTTAAGTCTAAACCAGAAGTTACTACTAAATATTTTAGCCTAATGGGCTGTATAATAAAGAAATGGAAGCCACATAAATTGTTACTTGCATAAAAAGCAGAAAATATTCCACAGCATCATCAGCTCCCATTATTTTACCAAAGTTTGGGGTTTCTTTTTGAAATGGATTCCAAAGTGACCTTGACTCATACCGTTAGCTTTATCTCCCAAGGAAATGAATCTACCTTGTTTGAGGTCAAAACAAGAGATGACACAGTTTCATAGGTAAACAGGAAGAGGACAATGGGTTACCCTGAATTTTACCAAAGGATTAAAAGAATGCAAGCTTACTTCCCAGAGTTCATAGATTTCTTTTCTGAGGTCCTCTGATAGAAGCTGGGTCAGTTGTTGCATAGCTGCCTGAAAAAAAAAAAAAAAAAAAGCAGCCATTGCAATTTATCCATTTTTTGAGCAAGCACATTTTTATCATTATCTTTTTTTGAGGAATTAACTAATTGTTACCAAGTTTGTAGAAACATGCACTACACGGTATATTATTCTAAAGTGCATGTGTACATAAATCTGCCAGAGAAACAGTAGGACCACTCAGTGAAGAATCTTTTCTGGGAGCTGCTTAAGTAAATTGTTAGAAAACTAGTCTAAAACACAAGAAAAGCAACCTGAAAGTGCATCCAATATCTTCAAGAGTCCAAAAATAAGCCCAGAGCAAACCAGGCAAGTCAAATACCAAGGAACTGCCTTCAATTATCAGCTCTGCCTTCCAGATTTACCTAGTGGAGGCAACATTTGAACTTAACAGGTTATAGGTGCAGTTCATAAAAGCAGCTTCAAAACACCAACTCCTAGTGTTGACAAGCAACTGCCCCTTCCCAAACACTCAACTTGCACATTTCCACTAGCAGGGCTGAGAACAGCTACTGACTGTCAGGCAGGCAACACAACATAAGCCTTTAAAAAATGTCCAATTGTGAAAAACAGAAAGGAAAAAAATCCATTTAATACCCTGCAGCAATAAAACACAGTGCTCCCAGACTGAGATACCATTTGTTCAACAATAAAAATCTTGGTACAAGGTTTAACACAGTATCAAACTGATGATATAACCAGCAAGCAGAAATTGTTCTGCATGCTCTTCGTGCTCGCCCAGCTGATCAGTCTCATTTCTGTGCTATTTCTACTGTTTTCCTAGTAACACTAAGGGTTGCTCCCAAAACAACTGACATCACAGGTAAGACAAAGGTTTTGTGCCACGATTGTTCCTCCACTTCAAATACAGGGTGTAGTTTCACAATATGGCTGAACTGAATCAGCTGCTCCCCACCACTGAAGCATCAAGGTCTCATTCCTCTGCACCTCCTTCCAGCTCTGGAGCTCATCAGATTTGAAGGTTAGCAGGGCAAAATGACTTACCCGGCAAAAAAAACAACCCAAACCATCCCAAACAAAAAAAATCTAAACTTTTTTTTTTTTAATCAAGTTAATTTTCTGCTGCCTTAGCCTTGGTGAGACTAGCTGATTAAACTTACTGCACAAGCAGCAAACTTCAGAACCACCTCAACATCAGCTGCAGAGCAAAGGAAGAAAAAGGAGAACTCTGCAGCGGCAGGAGCATACTGGTAATTCAGCTCAAGCCACCTCATGAAACTGTTACCCTTGGTGTATTTTTATAACAAACTATTTCAGAGTCAGCCTACATGTTTAATGCTTGACCCTGTTTCCCACAAGGTCAACAGCAAAGTCCTCACTCAGTGAAATGGGAGCAGAAGGAGCGGCAAATAAACATACTTAGGCATCAAAACATCTTTTTCATTGCCTAATACAAATGAGAATTCCCTCTAGGCAAAGTTGAAGCCTGATCTTTGGTGAAAAAACAACCTTTGGAGGCTTCTGGGAAAGAGGTTTGGGCTTTTTTTTTTTGTTTCGTGTAAGAACACGCTAGGAAGTACACTGGAAAAAAAAGAAATACCAAAATTGCAGTCAGTAAAGACAGTACTTCAAGAACGCCGAGTATCCCTTTGATTTTTAATTTCCACTTCTTAGCAAAGAGCTTACTCCTAGAGTCAGTCATAGCCCCCCCCAAGCCCAAGTTTTAAACAGGTAAGCATAAAAGTGGATGGGTGGGGAAAATAATCACCACAATGTTTTTTACAGTCTTTGAAGAGATAGTTGTAGCCCCTAAAGAGTTTCCGAGGCATCACGTTGCCCTCTAGCTGTGGCTGGAGGAGTGGTTTACATTTTCTTCAAATGCAACAAACCAGAAACGACAAACCAACAGTTTGGTTACGTACAAGGCCAAAAATAAAGTAACTGCAGGCACGCTGCACTCCAAGACTCATGACAAAAAAAAAAAACCCAGACACCTGTGTCTGGAGTCCTGTGCAAATGGTTTAAATAAAGTCTCTGTCACAACCACACGATCTGGCACCACACAAATGATCTGCCACGAACTGTCATCCACCCTTCTCAGTGCACCTAATCCCTGCTCCCCACCTCTTAGTAAGGCTCATCAACGTGACTAATTCAGGCTACCAAAAATCCAGCCAGTTCAGGAATAAATGGCCAACGTGAAGATTACTTCAAAGGTTCTCCTTCCTAACTTTGAACTTGGTGATGTTACATGTACAAAAATCATGACTTGAAAACTTTGGTTGTTTGTGGCACACTTGTCCAACACCAGCGACAGTATTATGTTGCTTCACTACCACCAGAACATTAAAAACATGCAGAACGCTTTGCAGACATGGCTCTGCCCCTTATGTCCATACCTCTTCTCTCCTGTGTTTCTCCTCTTTTGAGATATTATCTGCAGGAGCAATATCTCCAACAATGCATTCAGCCATATCGTGAACCAAAGCTAACCGTATGCATCTGACAAGAAGCAAAGACAGAACAATTAGTTTCAGAGCATTTTAACGTTATCTTGTTATTCATAAAGCTGAGAGACTGCATAACTTATCCCTTTCATGTATTTTACAGGGTTTTGCTGTGGTTTTTTTTTTATTTTACATAACACTTTTCAATTCTTTGCTAAGGGAAGTAGTTTCCACCTCGACATGATTTTAAATCCCGATTTCTAGCTACTTGCTGCTTGTAAATGTAGATCCAAGTATAAATACAGTTTGTACAAGAGCATAGCATTCAAAAATAATGTACTTAGCTTTTGTACGCTCAGCTTTCGGAGATGTTGTGATAACTAACTACATTGCACACTTCACATTAACGCTGCAACGTTGGTGGAAGGTAATCTGATTGGAGCCATCCCAAATTCAATATATAATCTGACACTCACAGCTCCGTAGCTATGTCAGTCTGCAGCAGAATACTCAAAAAAGCCTTCACTATTTTCATCAGCTCCTGAAGGGACAAAGCAAGCATGATCCCGTACTAGACTTGACAACTCATTCAATACTAATGATGCTTTCTCTTCTACCGTTTTTTGATTTCTGAGGCTCCTGACTGCTGCTGACTGCCAAGTCTGTCAAAATCCACACGGTGTACAGCTTTGCCTTTGCTGTCTGTTGCTTCAAACTGTTTTTTAACTGAGTGTCTTCAGCTTGCTTACTTATGGCTTGAGAGAAGGCCAGCTCAGAGCCTCTGCATTAACGACTTGCCTCAGCACCTGGAATTTAGCAATGAAAAGTCTTTAGCCCCTTTCAGCTCTCCAGGTAAACAGCACCCTGTCCAAAGGATGGAGGGAAAAGAAAAGGGGAAAGGATTTCAAACTCCTTCAGGGTGCCTTAAAAGCTCTTCCTCATGACGACAGCTATTTTAAGTGCTTTGGTTGCAACTCTCCCACAACACTGACAGGTGGTCGCAATAACCTGAGGCAGTCTCACCTGTCCTTGTTAAGGCTCTTGTCTTCGGTCACCAAAGCCATCATCGCCATCCTGTACATATGGTCGGATACACTCTCTGGCTTCGCCACGTTCCGGTACACCCATCCCGTCCGCGGTACTCTCTGTGTGAGGAGAGCGTCACAGCAACGTAAACGTTAAAACCTTAGGTTTTGAAGGACCGCACTTCAGAGACGCCAGTAGAAATTCTGCCCCACCGTGACCTCCGTGCTCCGGGGAGCTTTGATGCTTCCGGGAAACACCCGCCCCAACGACCGTGCTCCCCCGAGGCTGTCACGGGATGCCGTTACCTTGCTGTTCACAGGCAAGGAAAACGCACC